TCAGGTGTCATTACACAGCTTCAGTATCAACCCCTTCGGGCGTGATTACAGAGCTTCAGTATCGTCACGTTCAGGCATCATTACACAGCTTCAGTATCAACACCTTCGGGCGTCATTACAGAGCTTCAGTATCAACACGTTCAGGCGTCATTACACAGCTTCAGTATAAACACCTTCGGGCGTGATTACAGAGCTTCAGTATCGTCACCTTCAGGTGTCATTACACAGCTTCAGTATCCACACCTTCAGGTGTCAATACACAGCTTCAGTATCCACACCTTCAGGTGTCATTACACAGCTTCAGTATCAACCCCTTCGGGCGTGATTACAGAGATTCAGTATCGACACGTTCAGGCGTCATTACACAGCTTCAGCATCAGCCCCTTCAGGTGTCATTACACAGCTTCAGTATCAACCCCTTCGGGCGTGATTACAGAGATTCAGTATCGACACGTTCAGGCGTCATTACACAGCTTCAGCATCAGCCCCTTCAGGTGTCATTACACAGCTTCAGTATCAGCACCTTCAGGCGTCATTACAGAGCTTCAGTATCCACACCTTCAGGTGTCATTACACAGCTTCAGTATCCACACGTTCAGGCGTCATTACACAGCTTCAGTATCAACGCCTTCGGGCGTGATTACAGAGCTTCAGTATCGTCACCTTCAGGTGTCATTACACAGCTTCAGTATCGACACCTTCAGGTGTCATTACACAGCTTCAGTATCAACCCCTTCGGGCGTGATTACAGAGATTCAGTATCGACACGTTCAGGCGTCATTACACAGCTTCAGCATCAGCCCCTTCAGGTGTCATTACACAGCTTCAGTATCAACCCCTTCGGGCGTGATTACAGAGCTTCAGTATCGTCACCTTCAGGTGTCATTACACAGCTTCAGTATCCACACGTTCAGGCGTCATTACACAGCTTCAGTATCGACACCTTCGGGCGTGATTACAGAGCTTCAGTATCGTCACGTTCAGGCGTCATTACACAGCTTCAGTATCAACCCCTTCGGGCGTGATTACAGAGATTCAGTATCGACACGTTCAGGCGTCATTACACAGCTTCAGCATCAGCACATTCAGGTGTCATTACACAGCTTCAGTATCAACACCTTCAGGCGTCATTACACAGTTTCCCATACTCTATTATATCTGTGATAAGCTCACGTAAAACATCGGAGAACTTCACTAGGGTTTCTTTCAAATAGAGTAACGTCCCCTTAATTTCATTTTTTTTTAAACTGTAGCACAATGAGGCCAGGAAATTTCTGTCGGGATATTCTTTTTGTATCATACTTTTTTGTGGATTTAACAGTTATAGGTGTAGTTTTTTTTTGTGCTTTTTGTTTTGAAATTTGAATCCTGGACTTTGTTATTATTCTGTTTCCGTTAACATTAACTGTGGAATCAAATGATGGAAGGTTTAAAAAACAAATTAGAATTCAATGGTAGCTTTTTAGAACACTGTATTGATGAAAAAAATCTCACCAATTCAAATAAATGAAAATATAAAAATCTACCATTGAAATTTTCCAAATATTGTAGAGCCTCCAAGCTTATCAAAGGTAAAACATGATACTGGGTCAAAACTACTCGACTCATTTACAGCAAATCATTCAACCATAACCATGTAAAATTTTATAATTGCACAATAAATAATGACAAAAGGAAGATTTTAAAAAGTTCTACCAAAAATAGTAAAACAGATATTAATGACAAGTATATTATAATGCTTATAACAGACTTCCACAATCACAATTAATGACCGACACACATATTTAGGCTCAAAATACATTCATAATTACAAATAATGCAAAAACATCTATCCCAAAAATTACAGTAAATCATTTTTTTTTTAAAACTGAAATATAATTATTAGCATTCAGTATTACAGCCTCTTACTTTAACAGAAGTTTCTTTCTGAAATGTGCAAGATTGGTGTAACTAGATACCTTTAATTCATAGACATGTGTTTTTGATAAAAAACAAACCACAATTCATGATAAAAATATTACCGGTAATTGAAATCAAATATCACGGTAGGTGATATGAATTTGTTAGCACAACCTGTTATAAATATCAGCTTTGGTCCCATATAGATATGATATAATGGCCGCATTCTGTTGATATATCCCAGGTACTACCAATAGTCTGATAATTATACATAAGGATATACCACAGACCCGAGGTTCAGTACTGATTGTACAGAGTACATTGTAGCTATTTATTAATTCCTGCGTGTATTACAGGCAGGCTCCTAGTCTACTTATCAATACTCAATACTCCAGAGCTTACACTCGCTTACACTCTCTGACCCCTGGAATATGTCATAGCAAAATTGAAGGCTCGGTGTGCACCACCTTGTTGATGAGACAATCAGACTAGTTTGATCCTGTTTGTCGTGTAACAGTAAAATTGACTAGCTTTGAAGTCGAGTGTCACTTCTCTGTAATCTTCAAAAGATAGGTATCAGTCTAGCGATTGGTAAGTTTTTTTACCTGAGACCAATCAAAAAGCTATCTTTGTGCCTTCAATTTTGCTATGACGTATTCCAGGGGGGAAGAGAGTGAAAGTGAGCGTAGTTGACTAATCACTTCAGAAAATCCATCCTCAACAAACATCCATGTTGATCCATTCGTTCACTATTTCACAGGTACATTGTACTACTTGGTGGTTCATAATCACTTTTTAAACAACTAGATATTATTTACCAAATTACCATAGCAACCATATTTATTTCTGTAACATTTATACATGTTTACTGTCAAAATACATTACAACCATGCGCACTTCAAGTACCTGGACAGAAAGGGAGATAATTCTGATAAGTTTTCTATGTATTATAGCCCTTATTAGTGCAATGTCACTGACACAAATGGACAAACTTCTGATCATGGTATACATGTCTTTAAATAACCAATGAGCATTCACGAGGGAAAAATATTAAAAGTATCTCAACTGTTTTGGTTTTGATTTTATTGGATATTTTACAAACCAGACTGAACAATATGGAAACCTGCATACACAGCACTTCAATCAAGTAATATGTACCATTATAAATATATTCCACTTTGTACAGGGTCTGGTTTAGAAAGGTTCCAGATTGTACAGGGTCTGGTTTGGAAATATTCCACTTTGTACATGGTCAGATTTACAAGGTTCCACTTTGTACAGGGTCTGGTTTGATAAGGTTCTGGATTGTTCAGGGTCTGGTTTATAAGGGTTCCAGATTGTACAGGGTCTGGTTTATAAGGGTTCAAGATTGTACAGGGTCTGGCTTGAAAAGGGCCTAGATTGTTCAGGGTCTGGTATTAGCAGGTTTCACAGTCCACACATTGTTGGCAGTTTAACATATATGGTACATACAAAGGTTACTAAACCCATTCTATAGACATTGTACATTAAGGTTCTCGTCGTCGTAGAACATGTATACCGCACTATTTAACGTGTGCTGTACTTGTTCAAGATATACATAGCACAGAACCAACATTAATTCAGTGGTCCTACCAATGACAATTTCACAGACATTATATAAATATTACAAAGACGTTTTTTCTGTTTCTTTAAACATATCGAGTACAAGTTTACTGTAGTTCAAATATGGCTTTGCTAAAACATTCTCAACTATTTCAATGATCTAAACCTTTACAGACATTCCTCACAAAAAGCCTGGGTCAACAGCTATACCAGACTATGTGTATCAAATATCTCCTCAACAAAAACGACCAGTATAGGTCAATGGTGGGCTACCTCTCACATTGTAAAACCATAATATTTACTAAAGTAGCAGAACATTTCCTGGATTACCCAACAAAACATTCACTCAACTTTATGTTTCTAGTGTTTAAGAAAAATATCAAGTGTTTGATATGAGTGTTTCAAACAATCCAGCCTATTTTGTGTATTTTTTTTCTCTCACAAATTGTACCAGGTAATTTTTACAGATATTACAACACCTGTCAAAGCAGTTTGTTACTGAACCATAAATGTGTTACTGAACTAATTTAAATGTACTGATGCCAGAAACATTCTGACACCTTGCTACCAATAGCAGATACCTAAAAAACACATTTTCAAATCAATGCTATACAATTTTTTTATGTTATAGCATAAGTGCCTTGCTATTTCAATAGTCTCTTTCCCAAAAGTAGCGGGATGTTTTAAAAAAAGTTTTACCAATTAACAGCAACAGACGCTTTTCAGAGCTATATTACCAGTACAGTCAAACTTCCATAAATCGAACTTCGAAGATTCTAATTTCTCAATCTGTCGAACGACGGTTAAGTCCTGAATATTTTCCTTATATAGCACTACTGATATTCTTTTCATGACTCAAACTTTTATGAGTGGAATATTTTGCTGTTTCGTTTCGTTATGAAAACATTGAACAGTTCAACTAATAAACCCAAGTGAAATATTCACCTGTGCTAGACCATTAAAATGTCCCATGGATATCTGTACTAGACCATTAAAATGTCCCGTGGTTATTTTAACAGGACAGGTGTTGGAAATTTAATTGACAAAGAAATGTTGAATTCGATAAGAAATCCAAGATTTGCATTTAAAATTTAATGTCTTAGCCTGTGTTTCGTTTAATATTTAAAGAATTACATTTTGTCTTATTTACAGGACCTCATTGATCAATATTTGTGAGGTGAGTCGAAGTCTAAATTTTTCAAGATGATTCCGCAAAGTTCAATCAAAGAAGTTTGACTGCAGCTTCAGACCATTATATAGGTACCCTTTCCATCCATCTAAAGCTATTAAGCGTTGAATAACTACAGTTGTACAGGTATTTGGAGGGAAATAGAGGTGTTACAACAAGCCTGGTGAGGACCAATCAGTGGGGCTTCAGTATTTATCTCTACATTTCCGTCTAATTGTCGAAAAACAATCTCTTTGTGTAATAAAAACGAAATAAGAAAGCATTGGTAAAATTTTGTCATGATTTCCACTGACAGTGGGATCTGTCAACACCAAAGCAAAGCTTGAAAAAGAATTCAAGAAGACTTTATCTCAATAAAAATTCCTTCCACACAGGAACACAGAAGGTATAGAGCTATCCATTCCGATCTGCGATCTTTCTTCCAGGAATAAGTGAAAAGTAAAATCAGGAATTATTATCATGAGAAGATTTCTAATTCTGATATCCAACCCTGAATTAATAAAATATAAATATGTAATGACTATAGAAGCAAACAGTTATATTTCAACTTTTTCTCTTCATCCATGCATCCAGTTATGATCATGAGGAAACACAAATATGAAACAGACTATAGAATCTTTCCTTTTTCATATTTGCAAACAAGTTTGCAACAGACAGCACCCCCTTTCCTTTGTCACTGGAAATTGATACTGACTATAGCTGCCCTGGCTCAGTCATCCAAATAGCATTCTCACAATTTATATTAACGAAGATTTCTAATTTCTTTGCTTTCATTTCTTCTTTTTCTTTATCTCCTTTTCTTTCCTCTGAAGTTTCATCTTTTTCTTTTCATCTTTTTGTCTTTCTTTCTCTTTCAGACTTGCCACCAGCTTGTAAGCAAAGAAAACTGAAAGAAAATAAACGATTGAAATTAACAGTTTTACTGTAGAAATGTGGACCATTACTACTATATAAGGATTAACCTGAATATATTTTTCATGTTATGGAGCTATAACACAAAAAACGGAGTGTACTCTCAATAAACCGCTTTTTATGATGAGAGTACAATCCAGTTTTGTGTTATAGCTCCATAACATGAAAAATATATTCAAGTTAATCCTTATAATTTAATCTACTTTACACAATCCCTGTGGAAATCCACTTTTATTGATGGACTCTTTTCTCTTAGAAAGTATTGCGCTGCCGTATCAGCCAATCAAAAGCGACGTTACAAACGGCGACGTCATATTTTTACGTTATGGGCTGATAATATAAATTTGTAAGCCAATGAAAATGCTTGTTACAAGCAAGATTAAATTATACAACATTAATATGTCCATCTGTCCCCTGTGTTTCCCTGGTAGCCTAATTTGGCCTTAGCTTGGTTGGTTGAGGGGTTTTTCGCCTACATGATTCCACCCATGCAGGTTTCATCTTTTGTCTAAACCTTATTATATTCATTATATAGATGAAGCTAGTTCAAGCTACAACATAGGATATTTGGCAATGACAGAATCATCAAGCACCGAAAAAGTTGGGATGTTCTTTTATCCTACTTAAAAGTTACAAAAACAGAATTAATGTAACTAATGTACATATGCTAGTGTTACAGGAGAGGAAAAATGCACAGCCAGACTGGGGTTAGAACACGGGACGTTCCAACCTTTAGATGGACGCTCTACTTAAATCACGGATGATCAATACATTACAGTTTGGCTACATTAATATTCTTCCCTCCTTTTTCTAAGTCTTCACCCCCGAAGACACAACTTTTTACAACCCAGGTTCGGGTATCCCCTTGCCAAGCATACACCAAATGCTTGAAACAAGGGACAAGTGTTAGTCACAGGCACCACTGTAACAGGAGAGGAAAAATGCACAGCCAGACTGGTGTTCGAACGTTAACCCTTCCTAATTCAAGACAGAGGCTCTACCAATTGAGATATCTGGTCTTCGACGATCGGCCCAGTCCAGTTCTGCTACACAAGAGCTAGCCTAGCTAGGTATACTCTGTTTTTCCAAATCATTGTATGATAATATAATAAAGGTATATGTATATGATATATTTTACAAATGTATCACTCTGTTATAAAAGTGACCAATAGGAATATACATGAACATTAAAGAAATATCTGTTATTTATGATTGTATGTTCCATATGTATATATAGGACTATTACAAACCACATGTACAAAAGCATACGGTAACGTTCAAATATACCTTAAGCTTTGGCAGTTTCAAACATATGTTAAGGGAAAGCACCTTTCCCCTAAGTGATACAACAATAATTTGTAGAATTTCCATGACATTTAATGAGAAACCAGATAATTGGAACGGTCATATTGATATATAGATATGATGTGACTATTAACAGCTTGAGCACATGTTCACAGGCATTTTGTCCGTTAGGCTGAAGTCACCTCTCGAGCTCTGTCCCATCCAAAAATGCCGGTTCATGCAGAAAGTCCATGCAAATCCAACAATATCAGAGATTTATGACATATGATGATTATAGCACCTGAATTTATGTAAAATTATTTAAGTTACCAACAAAAACCATTTACACTTGCCAACATATTGGTTGGAATAGTGCAGACAAAACCTATGGTGAATGGACTTACGGAACAACGATCCTATTATTAGTCCAGGTACAATAAATACAGCATTATCGATGCTTTCCTTGACCGGTCCAGATCCGTATTCAACCATGGCGGTGTTCTGTAGGGTCAGCTGTCTGTAACCAACCTCAAACGGGTCACAATCTGGTAAAAACTTCTGACAATCTGGCCAGCTGGCACACCGGATATGGACGTTGACTTACCGGAAGTGAAAATGAGGAAGTGGTTGTACTAAATAAAGCCTGAGACATTAATTCTTAGAGTTGACACGACACGTTAACGATTAAATCTATAGATAATAATCTTGTGTCATTTCGCATTTTTTATGTTCATATTTCAAGGATTAAAATATTATATGTTTATAAAAAAAAAAATATAAAAATATATAAATCAAAGCTAAAACTGTATATGGCCAGAGACGTATGTATCAGTATCATTAACGTCTCTGATATGGGAACATGGTATGGACTAAGGTAATTAACATTATTCAAGTTTTATGAAAATAATATAAAGAGTACCACTGCATCACTAAGCAGTGGCGGATCCAGAGATCTATCGGGAGGGGGGAGTGGGGTGGGGTTCCAAATTTCCAGGGGGGGGCGGGGGGGTCCAAGTGGGGAAAAATTGAGGAAAATGTTAAAAATACGTTATTTTTAAAGAAAATTATCAGGGGTGCGCCACTGCTAACAACCGATATAAGGGCTACATTCCGAGCTGATTTCAGTTTTATTTTTAAAAAGAGTCTTCATCCCGCCTTACGATAAGCTGACCTCTAATCTGATGTTAATACAGTTAAAAGTGAAGAGTGAAGTCCTGATTTCGACATCTGCAGTCATTATTTCTATTTTTAAACATAGAGGAGAAGACATCCCTTCACACTCAAAGTAGTGCATATTTGGAACAATCTTCCTGAGTCTGCAGTTACTGCTAAAACAATAAATTCCATTTTTAAAGGCTAGACAGACACTGGACAAACCAGCAGGGTGGTCGGGTGGCGCAGTGGATAACGCACTCGCTTTTCACCGGGCTGGCGTTCGATTCCCCTATCGGACGTAAACATGTATGTGGTCACCTTCCCGGCCACCTGGGGTTTCTTCGGGTACTCCGGTTTCCTCCCACATTAAGACCCCAATTTTTTGGATGAATGCACATGTGCTTAAACGCAGAACGCAGAAAAAATATCCCACGGAATATATTGATGTGCCTTTTTTTATAGACTAGAAATCGTAGCCCAATTGTCGATACATCAATTACTAAAAATCGAAATCAGTCAATCCACTGTGTTAAGGACACAAACTGTTTCAGTTATATCTTATATGCTAAACGATTTTTATTGTTAATAACTTATGTCTACCTATAGGAAAATATTGCGTCCTGATGTAATCCATTATAATGACTATCTTAAACTTCCTGGTATTCTTAAGCTAGTGACATAGATACCTGCCAGGTAACTTGTTGACAAGCTTTAGGCTATCTATCTACCTACAAAGGTATACAGTTCTATGTAATAACTTATAATAATAATGACTATTCCCCGGCCGGCAACGTCGACCCCTCTCTTAGGAATACATTGGAGTATTTATGTGCATATTGATAGATAGAAATACATTTGCAGCGCGGATCTAGTAAATAAGCTTGAGAGGCGACTAGTGTGGGAACCCCCTGCAGAATTGAGGGTTTGCAACTAAAAAAATCTGCTGCATCCATTGCAATATTTCGGATCTTTGTACTTTTCTCTACTTTCTAATTATCGATTCCTAGTGCTTTGTTTGGCAATACCTCATGTTTTATTTGAATGATGAACGTTCGCCCAGGTGAGGAAGACATTGGGTTCTGTCCCCAGGCCATGACATACCAAAGTCCTTTAAAATGGTAGTTGTTATACCCTGATTAACGTTCAACATTTTGGGTTATCGCAACATGTCATCGGCTGGATGGCTGTGCTGGGTGCCTTCGTTAGGGTATTTCTGTGTGGTAGCACGCTGAAGTCGGCGTCAGATCCGCACTATCGCAAGGAGGCAAATACATCCACATACCTAGCTGTCTCCAGCACACATACATAACACGCATGGAGGGACGTCATTAAATTACCATAGCAGATGATAGACGTTACTGTGTAGGAGACTGAGTAAAGGTGACAGTGGGGGTAACCTCGCTTCCCAATTAACTCGGATCAGATTATGAGAAAGACAAACCCAATTGCATGTTCACTAATGTGCATTTATCAAGATTAGGTAAAAACCAGACAATGTATGTATGGAGGGTGTACAAAGCAATACCGACGGTTAATCTTCAGAATTACACTGGATCAGAATTACACTGGATCAGAATTACACTGGATCAGAATTACACTGGATC